CATTTTTTTTAAATTTCAAATTTGCAACATGGAATTTTTTTTATTTTTTAGCCTTAGTTGCAAAATGAAATATACGATGCACGAGTGAATCGTCAAGATTCGTTGAAAAACAACGGAGTTACAGACTGTCAAATACATTATTTTCAAGCTAATTTCGCTTTTTTAACGGTAGGACTATGAATATTATCGTCATTTTCTCTGGACTCGATGCCGTTCACATCCCCCACCCTTCCGCCGCGCCACGGCACGCCAAAAAATCAAGCGATCCACTGACTTTTAACAATATCTCTTATGCACCTAACACACTTCCACAAATTAAATATTTTTATCTGGGAAAGTACTCGGGTACCAACCTAATTTGTTCAACAATAGGCCGTCAAATTTGACAGTCTGTAACTCCGTTGTTTTTCAACTTATCTTGACGATTTTTTTTTTAACTTAAAGCTCTTTTCATGAGCTTTCCAAATATGTATATATGACTATATCACGCGCGTGCGTCGTATATTTCATTTTTGCAACTAAGGCTAAAAAATAAAACTTTCCAGGTTGCAAATTTGAAATTAAAAAAAAAAAGATTTCAATGTATTATTATGAAATCTACAATGAAAAAAATCAGTGCGATTGTGGAAGACGCTAGGGATCGTCCATACTAATAATTAGTCAATTTGTTTATAAGGCCTTGACTTGTAAACTATTCAACTTACCGATTCCAGATTTCGTGGTAATAATAACGCAGTTTATAAATGATTAATTCAAAAGTCATAAATAAACTTCTTCTGTTTATAACTTTTGATATAATCAATATTTTTTGACGCTCGAGGACTAGTTTTATAGGTCTTTTAAAGACGAAAAAAAGTACTATGCTGTTTTCTCGTGGAAATGAACGGAAAAGCGAAAAACGTGAATTTACGTAAAAGTTATACAATTAACCACCCTGTAAACAATCTTCCCCCATTTTTATGACTGTGGAAACTAATATGTCATTGTACATAATATTTAACATCTATAGTGATAAATTCAGCTTGCTAAAACCAAAAAATTGCGTCCAACTCTATATTTCCTGGCATAATCGAGGAACATCTATTTCACTTGCTAAGATTTTTTTAGAAAACACAATTTTGAATTTATTTAAATTAGCTTAGTACAGATACGTGTGTTGCCTAATAACGTTAGTTTTCATTTAAACAAATTTCACAACTTATCAAACAACATCTTTTTGGTGTGCATCATTATCGTAACAAGGTGTGAACTATAAAAATATACACGAGACAGCTTTGCACATACACGATCTTATCTGGTCTATCCCTATCAATAGGTATGAAAATTTGAAAAATATACAATGTAGATATTTAAATATATTATTCAGCAGAGTATGAAACACATCCTGTAATAAGTATATGATATAAAATTACATCATTGAATGTATTAAGAAAAGCAAAAAAATTAATGGTTTCCACATATTAATCAAGATAAAACGTTACTCCAAAATAGACCTTGAATATTAATAGGAAGGATTCTTCATTAAATAGTTTTTTTGGCCGTATGTGGTACTTAAAATACATATTTTCTCAAGTCTATAAAAACATCCTGGCACTAAATATATTCATGAAGTAAATATATACTTAGGTGTACTAAGGAAAATACTATACGACTTTAATGAATGGTCTCCACAGAAATATGTCTAGAATACATTATTATTAATTATCGGTATTATCACACACTACTTTATAGTACAATGTAAAATTTACGTTCTCCCTTTTACGGAAGATATGTATATTATAGCTGGTGTTGTATACAAACTCGTTAATCAACGTCTCATTATGTTTCGAGTAGGTACATATTAAGTTTGAAGATCGACAATTTTGGAAAAATTGGATCATTGATGCCCAGAAAAAAAATCTCTATGGTATTTTAAAACAATTGGACCGCGCATCATTTGTTAAAATAATACTTATACTACTAAAATTATAACTCACATCGTTGAGTGGAATATTCCTTTGTCCAGAACAGGATGAATGCGTTATAAATCAGTTTTTACAAGATACTTTTTGTTAACACAGAAATTAAAAATTTGTTAAATTAATTTATCAGTAGAAAACAGTGCAGGGTCAGTGCAAAATATTGTGCATCAAAGCAAATATACGATATGTACAGGGTGTTCCATTAAGGTCGGCGAGGTATGATATTAGAGAAAGTATAGGTCCCTAGAGCTCCGGGAAAAATATTTTACTTAATAAAAAATGGGTTTATAAAAGAACCTACCTAAGCACGCAGAGAAGGTTAAATTATTGAAAATAATAGTATGCATTTCGAGCACTTACAAACATCACTTTTGTTGCTGATTCCTAATCTGGCGTCGACGAGCTCCTTCACCCCCCAATTTCGGGATCAACGATCTCGAAAACCCCAAGGACCCTGATTTGAGTCCATTCCAGGCATTATTAACCGAGTTATGAATTTTTTCTAAGTGACTTTAAAAAATGCATTTTTCCAGGCATTTGGCACTGCACAAATGCAATTTGGCCGATAAACATAATACAGAGGTGCTGCATTCTTTTCACATGATTTTAGAAACGGAATGCAAAAAAAAAACATCTTGATACGACTTAATCGAAAAATTTCGGAGGTTCAGTGCTTTATTTCCTCGACTATTATCAGAATCCCTAGATTCACCCTGATATTTATTTCAGTTCTGAGTACGACTCAGTCACCACAAAGCTTTGCAGAGTCACCACTGAGAATGCCGACAGTGGAGAATGGCGAAACGTTTGGAAGAATTGGATGCGACTAATTACAGGACCACCATTACTTGAGCAGCAGTTCAATGCGTAGCAAGAACTGAAATGAACGTCTGTGGTTCTAACAGGGAATTCGCCTCCACAGAGCTTAGTCAGAGAACAACTAAAGCTAAAGAGGTGCAACGTAAGCATATAACTAGCAGGGCCGGATACATAGGCCACAGCATAACTAAAACAACCTGTCATTTTAAAAGTAGAGGTACTGTCATGCGTGTTAGTCGACAGTTAAAATTGGAGACGTCATTTTTCAAAAAATTCGGCGCCGATACTGAACACACATATCAAACAACCAGAATAATCGGCTTAAATTTATTGGCGAATAATAATTTCTTTGCAGACAAACTTTTTAAGCAAATATTCCTATATGAGCGCTCACTAGAGAATATTCGTTTCCACTAAACTAAACTTTTCGCAAACTTTTTGACGACTGCCGTGCTTTCCGACGGTTGGAGTTTTGTTTTTCGAGTCCCGCTTCAAAAAGGCGGTTTTCCACTAAACGGACAAAAGAAAAACAAAACACAAACTTGTGTCGAATAAAACAAAACTGTAACTTTTCGCAAACTTTTTGAAGACTGGCGTGTTTTGCGACAGTTGGAGTTTTGTTTTTCGGGTCCCGCTCGAAAGCGGTCACATCAAAAGGTTTCGACGTGTTTTGAAACTCAAATCTGTTTAGTGGAAACGGTCGTGTTGTGTTTTCTATTTAAGTGATCCAACCCAATATCTATATTGGCGTTTTCTTCTTCCCAAAAACAATATTTTAATCATTAATGAATTATAGCTATTAAAAAGTATATATGTATACGGTTAAAGTGTTTACTTGGCTAGGATACAAACTAACCAAGTAAACACTTTAACCGTACATATACCACGAACTCCATCGATGGATATCTGGGAAACCGCTCGAAGGATTTTTTCGAAATTGTGATGGCCTGTGGAGCCTACCAAGCTAAAATATTTTCAAGGTCATCGTATTTCCGGTTATACCGGAAGTTGATACTAACTTTCTTATTTTAAATGGAACCCCCTGTATATTATTGCAAAACAATTAGGGGTTTCCATTTAAAAATTTCGAGTTTTCGACATATTCTTTATTCGATATATTTTTTTGACCATCCTGTATAAAAACAGGAAAATTTTCATGTCAAATTCGATAAAGTGGGTTTTTCTCTACAAAATGTCCAATTTGCACAAGAAAATAAACCGGGAAAACTAAATTTTGCTGACAGTCTACATCTGTCAATTTTTGTTTAAAAATCGAAATATCTCGGAAACGGTCAATCCTAGGGAGTGTGCTATATGTTTTCAACTTAAAAATGGATTATGTTTCCAAAAATGCAATAATATACACGGGGTTCCATTTAAAATAAGAAAGTTAGTATCGACTTCCGGTGTAACCGGAAGCATGATGACCTTGAAAATATTTTAACTTGGTAGGCCCTACGGTCCGTATCATAACCATCATAATTTCAAAAAAATCCTTAGAGTGATTTCCCAGATATTCATCGATGGAGTTCGAGGTGGGACACTCTGTAGACACACTTGTTTCCAAGAACTTCAGTATAAACCAGCCATAACTAAGAATAAAAAAATCTTCTCTAAACATGTTGGCTGGTTATTGGAAAAATGTGTTCTCACTTCCTCGCGACAACCAGTGGAAAAGGACTGAAAACAAAAACAAAACTCGAACAAAATGTAGCCCGCTTGATGGAAACAAGAGTTTTGGATTTGTTTCAGTTTTGTTTTTGTTTTGTTCTAGAAAACACAAACAGGACATAAACTCAACTGTCCGTTTAGTGGAAAACCGCCATAAAATTCTACGCAGAAAAACTATTATTAAGCTGTGGAAAAACTATGCAGTTACGCCGCTGCGGAACAATCGCGTAATGTGATACCGACTTTAATTATCGCACTGTACATATAAAGTATATGGACATCTTGAGCTAAGATACAAAACTGAAAAAAAATTATTCACCCTACCATCTGCTAGACAGGTGAGATCAGATCAATCTACATAAAACCCACTCGAGACACTCAACACGGCAAATATCTATAATAACAGGTACCACGAGGTACCTTTGGTAAAAAGCGCAACACCTGCCCTTATGAGAGTGTGCGCAGTATATACGTACAGCTTATATAAAACCAGTTGGTACCCCAAAAACCGAAACAGTGCAAATATATTCTTGTAGGTAAGCCGGTATCATGAGGCTGTTGGTGACTGCTGTGTTAATCTTGAGCGCGGTGTGTTTAACATGTGGTGACACAAGTGATTTTGAAAAACAATTGCGCGTGCTTAACAAACAAGTGACTGTACTACTAGAGAAGAGAAAGGAAGATATGAAGAGTATAGAGGATAATATGCGGAAAACGATATACGACACTCCAGATCTCGAAATTATTCGTAACGACATGAAAACATTGAGGTAAGTTATTTGGGATCTTGTTTTGATTCTCAATATAAAATTATTTAAATACTTTTTACGTTTAAGAAACGCTAGAAATAAAAACATGGAATTTTTAAAGTTTTGATTTCTTAATAAATAAATTAATTAAATATTAAAAAATATATTATAATCCGTTTTTTGAAAATTTTTGTATTGATTATTTACATTTATGTCGTACTTGACGGTTATTTTTATGGAAAAATCTTCAAAATTAAGGAAAATCGCTGATATTTTAAAATGTAACTTAGTACCATCCAAATAGGGTTGCCAACCGTCCTGAATTTCGGTGACGTCCACCGTTTGCAGAATTTTTTTAGGAATTGTGTTCTTATAGGAAGACGTCTTTAATTTTACACCTTTGTATATTTTAACAAAATAAACAATTATAATATATAGGGTGATTCGCAAATAGTGACCAAAACTGAAACCTCGTATTCTTTGGTGAATTTTAAGGGGAATCTTTGCTATAAAATTTTATCTAGGACGCTTCGTTAAAAAGATACAGGGTGTTACACTTCAAAAAATATTTTTAATTTTTTTAAATAATTCAAAAACTAGTACCTAAGTGAAATAATTTGAAATTGGGCACATGTATTTATGTAAACATTGTCCAAAATCTGAAGGCTTTTCCTAAAATTTACATGCTCCTGTGGCGGGAGACAGGGTATCGGTGGCATATTTTTCTAAATCAAATAGTACACCACTGCTTTACGGTAACAACCATGATATTTTTGGATTCGCCTTTCAATTTTCTACAAATTACTACTCTCTTATGTTTTTCGAAAAAAAGCCTGATTTTCGAGTAAAACTTAAAAAACGAACTTAACACACTTCGACATTCGAATGAAATGCGGTTTAAAATTACGTAGTAGGCTGCGACAGTAATTTTGATATTCTGAGCAGTTAGAAGAAAGAATAAATAATGCTTTTCAATCAGATTCAAGCAACAATAAATTTCGAAAAAATCACATTTTCGTTACTAAAAATACGTCGCGCCTGTGTTCGTGCAAATGGAGGTGAGCATTTACTCAAATAAAATAATTAAAATGATGATTAATGTTATTAATTTTTATTCGAATAAATAACCGAATGATTAGTGTTGTCATTTTAATAGAAATGTTTTAAGTTGTTTTTTTAAGTTTTACTCGAAAATCTGGCTTTTTTCGAAAAACAATAGAGTAGTAATTTGTTGTAAATTGAAAGACGAATCCGAAAATATAATAGTTGTTATCGTAAAGCAGTGGCGTACTATTTTAGTTAGAAAAATATGCCACCGATACCCTGTATCTCTGCCACTGGCATGTAAATTTTAGGAAAAGCCTTCAGATTTTAGATAATATTTACATAAATACATGTGCCCAATTTCAAATTATTTCACTTACTAGTTTTTAAATTATTTAAAAAAATTAAAAATATTTTTTAAAGTTTAACACTCTGTATCTTTTTAACGAAGCGTCCTAGATAAAAACTTTATAGGAAAACTCCCCTTAAAATTCACCAGAGAATACGAGGTTTAATTTTTGGTCAACATTTGTGAATACCCTGTATAAATAGAATATTTTGTATTCTTGTTAGGTTTTATATTTGTACACTTTAATATTTACATTTTTACATTAATTTAACTCAAATCTTTTCTTTGTATTTTTAGAGTTTATTACCTATTTGTGATAGATAAGTTTATACATTCATGTTTTTTTTTTGATAAAAATGTATAGGTAGTTTAGGTTATTTATAAGACAAATAAAAAATTGTCATTAATTGTTTGCAATTGTTCTGGATTTTTTGCTACTTTATCTTCAAAATAAGAAACCGAAAATTGATAACACTACATAGAATAAAAAATATATTCTGTTAAATGTAGAATATAACCGAAAAATTGAACGTTTGATAACATACTGAATTTCTTTTTAGTTCTAGAATTTATGGCATCTTAAGATCTCACTTTGCAAAAATTAAATGCGAATGAGTCGTTCTAGACAAGTTATTAAGATCTATGTAGAGCTTGTTTACTATATTTTTTTATAAATCAACGATTTTCCAAAAACTAAAATTTCGACTACACGATAAAATTATAATTATATAGAATGATCCATGAGTAGGTCAATTTTAAAATATAAACTTATTATATTAAGGTTCAGTGGTTGTCTTATGTAAATATTTTCGTCATAATTATTCTTCTATTCTTTCGTACAAGAAAAATATTTTTTAAAATTCAAAATCGACTTATCCGAGAAACGTCATGAAACTAAAATTAGAGAATTCTGGAAAATGTTGGTTTAAAAAAAATCCAAAATATATCTATTACCCTGTCCCTGTATCTAATTATAGTTCACGAAGACAAAAAAAAAGAAAGCATTATAGGTACTTATTTATCGTTTCATGAAAGTATTTTTGAGACTAAATTAATTATATAATTGCAATATACAGAATCGAGTAACCTAAATATACACAGAACCGCATATTTCATCTGCATGCGCCCAATAAAACTAAATAATATAAAATTATATACAAGTGAAAGTTTTAAAAGTAAAATTTGCATACTTATATTTCAATTTTCACTTTTCAGATTAAAAGTTGACCAACTGAGTTCTGGCAAAATACCAACTTCCCAACGAGAGAAGAACGACAAACTAACGATTAAGTATTTATTCACCGCCATGGAGGAACTGAAAACTGAAGTTACTGAACTTCAAAACACCCTAAACTCATCGATAATCTTACAGAACCATGAACGCGTAGAGACGGAAATGAGTTTATTGAAAAGTGACATCACTAATCTGAACAGCGAATTGGAGAATGCTAGAAGACAGAACGTTAAATATGAAGCGGAATTGCAAATGTTTCGCGAGGAAATGGATTCAGTTAAAGAGAACTGGAGAAGTACCGCGGTAATGTGTGGAAAAACAAAAAATCAGGTATGTTCAAGTACTATTGGTTACTTTTTTTAGTACAATTTTAATCTTTTAATTATTTCCATAAATTTTCAAACGAACAAAAGAAAAATTCATTACTTTTCAGATAAAGAGCAATATTGGTTCTGAAGTTTCAGACCAGATATTAGTTTTCGCTGAGTTTTTCCTTTTGTTCGAGGGCATAATAAATAATAAATTTAGAATGTCAGCATTTGAATAAATGTTAACATCTTCCATTCTTCAACAATAAATAATACTCAAACAAACATTCACTGTATGTGTTAAATTGACAACAATAAACTGGTGACAGATTAGGTGCTTGTTTTGAAGTTCCAATAATTTTAAAGCCATCCTAGTAAGAAATTATGCGATATCCGTTGACTGTACGAAAAACAGTAAATACCTTAAAAACCAGAAGCGATAGATATAGGGAACCATTATACTATTCGAAAGAGAACAAAATTGTTCATTGGGTTGCCCAAAAATATACAGGGTGTTCCATTTAAAGAAATAAGTTTATATATGGTTTAAAGTTGACTAAATTCGGCATTAAATTTCTACCACCCTGTATGAAATTAAGTAATTTTGAAATTATGGCAGAGAAGCTTAGAATTTTAGTTATGTCACCTATAAATTTTATCGCTGCAACTTTATTATTGTAAAATACACATCTTTTTGCATTTTAAACTGAAAGTTTATTGAAAAAAATTAAATTTATCAAAAACGGTTATCTTAACCTTTATGAAAGTTCGCCTAAAATTTGACGTAGAGTACAAAAATGCAATAATATACAGGGTGTTCCAATTAAAATAACGAAGATGACGTCAAGTTCCGGTATAACCGGAATCGTTAGGTGGACGCCATTATTTTAGTTGAGAAAGGAATGCCCGCAAACACTATTGCCCAAATTTTCACAATTAAAATCGAACTATTCTGAAAAATGTTTAATGTTTCGTTACCGTGGGACACCCTGTATTACCTAGTTCAGTTCAGCAAATTAGAATTGGGTCATTCTGTCTGTATAAGCCATATTAATCGAATCATGAACCGTGAAAACCCTTTATACATAAAAAATATGTCATTTCCTGAATTTTTTTATATAAAAATATTGTTTTTTAAGAAAATTGTTTATTGATACCATTGTTAATAATTATTTCTCGAAAAAAATGCGAAAATTTTTACTAAATTAATAGGTAGTTTATAACAAATTAATAATTAATTGTTGCAAAATGGACCATGCTGTTATTATTTTCATGCGCTACCCCAGATTTAAAAAAAAACGTTATAATTGGTCCACAATTGCCGGAGATATCGCAAAATTTTCGGGCAGTTAAGATTTGAAGTCTCGATTTCCACTTTTGAACGTTTCTGTCTTATTTCCCCCTCCACATTCCTGGTGTAAAAATATATTCGAGGACGTTTTTTTAAAGGGTTAAAAATTACTATAAAATGCATTTTTTCGATATATTTAACCGTTATTATGAAGTTTAAGGGTTGATTGATTTATTTCCGAAATTTCAAGTCTTAATGTTTATAAATAAACAAGTTATAATCATTGTTTAAACAATGATCTTGTTGTTTTAAACAGATACTTTTTGGGAAATATTATTTCTTTTAGCCTAAACTAACAATTAAACCAAGTTTCAATTTGAAACGAATTTTTTACAAATTCTTTTTTATTTGCTGGACTAATAGTCAAGACAAGATTAGGATATAAATTAGCACGTGAAATTATACTTTACTGCAATATATATTTACGTACTTTAAATGAAAACGGAAATATTTATAACCTTGAAAAAAACTAAAATGTAGCATCAATTCGTTTTATTCGATGTTATAGATTTTATTTAAAAAATATACATATTTCCTTAAAATAATGAAACTTCCTTTCTTTAACCGAAACTAAAATCAAAAAATAATGGTACCTACCATTACTGTTTTTTTCTCTGATGAGGATATAATTTTATTTATTTTTTTTTACTTTTAATTGATAACTACCTATTCTAGTCCTTCAAACATTTAAGTTCAACAGTAAAACATCAGTTAGGGGGAGATATTCCACATATTAAAATAATGGTACAAGTTGCTACGATACTTTTTCAAAATTGAGCTTAATGTGTATGTCGAAAACTAAAAAATGTTTTTTGGTCTCTCGATAATCTTTAAAATATATGTTACATATATATTTTTATTTGTACTTATGATTTACCTAGGTATTTATCACAGCATTCATTAAAAAGTATATATAACCTTGTACAAAGACAAATCTTGATGTACGGACAGGTGTGCTACCTATATCTAAATATCTCAAACTGCAATTTATATGCAATGTGGTAAAAAAATTATTTTTCAAATCATTACTTCCATTTAATTGAAGGATGCGGGTTATAATTTGCTTTTCTTAGCATGTCTCTCTTAGGTAGGTTGGTAGGTGTACGGACTAAGAAATATTTAAACGACACAGGTATGCGGGTTGGTATTTAAGCTGAATAACTATTGGTCAAAAATGGCAGGTGAAACACAGTTACCGGACGCAAGCAGAAGCAAAGCACCTGCCTGTCTTGATGAAATAAAATTTATGTAGTCGGTTTACCTCTTCGTTTTTTTTGTCGTTAAAAATAACACATCTAGCCTGGTGACATACAACAATTTCTTCTAAAACCAACCGCTTGTTTATATTTAGTTCAATAACGAATTAACTGAAAATTAAAAAAAGGTATTACATGCGAATTTATATTTAATGCCAACAAAGTTTTAAGTTTTAATATACTTATCAACATGTATCTATAAATTTTATTAGATTATTTAGTCTCCAAATGAAACTTCAATATAAAGGGTGTTCCAATCAAAACTTCCCACCTGGAAAATATCAGGTTTAAAAAAAAACAAAAAAATCTGAGACGTCGATTTTTTTTTCAAGGGGGATACATGCATGATGGCGTAAAATACAGACGACATTTTTAAATTTTGGTTTGATATGACAATAATATCAAACAATAAAAATAAGACAAAATATCAATGAATGAAAGAATGTGATTTTATGAAGTGTTCAAATTGGTTTTCCTTCGCTTCCATAAAACAAAATTTTTACTCTACTTTTCGAAGCATTTCGGGCGTCATCTGAGGACATTCAATAATTTCGAGATAAAAAATTGTCTTGATATTTAGTTTATCTGTCAATACAAAAACTTCATACTCTATTAGTTTTGCAAATATAGTGTATACTTATATGACATTTACCAAAATTAAACTTACTGCAACTTGGCATTATTTATTTTAGTTATTTTAGAGATTTCCTACAGATGTATTTAATTTTAAAATATCACTTCATATTATTCAGTGATGTTTAAAGTTGAAGAGCAGAATTTTCTAGAATAAAAAATTTCCTCATATTTCAATTAAAAATGAGGTGATATTGCCACAAAATTTTGTATAAGTTTAAAAAAAATACCTAAATAAAAACATTTATGTTATTAATAATGTTAACGTAATCAGCATTCCAAAAATAAAAAATCCCTACCACGAAGGGCTCATATAATGCTCATTAAAAAATAGTTTTATGGTCCACCCACTGGAAGCGTTGAAACTTTTCAACAAACTCAGGACTAGATATTCCATCCAAAAAGTCAAAGGGCTGGTTTTATAAATTTAATTGTCTGATTCGAAATCTCACTGATTATGAGAAAATTGATATTATTTTACCACCACTACGCAAAAATCAGTACAAGGCATTGCACAGTATATGTTTAAAAAAACTCTGCTTTCTTTATCAAACGTTTAGTTCTCAAATTGACTTATAAAAGTCAAATATGAAGGTTTTTTGTTCCTTGCATAGAGATATAGTTATTTCATGTTACTCCATTATTACCTGGTCGTTGAGAATATGCAAACGATTGAAGTTGTTTGAAAAGTATCTAAGCATCAACCTTTAACAAAGTAAATGCAAACTCTTAGTTTTCTTTTTATTTTATTACTTTCTTTTCCCAATATTTTTGTTATTCTATCGAATAATATGATTGCCATTGCTACAAAGGTTCCCATATTTTCGATTTTTCAAATCCTTTCTTTCTGATATAATTCCGATATTCTCTGACTCTCACAGTAAGAATCTTGAAGTTTTGCCAACTCATTTTTCGGTCTAGTTTTTGATAAAATTGTCCTTAACGTATTAGTTTGGAAAACTGTTCTAATATTACCTAGGTATTACCATTTAATTTTTCAGAAAACTTTGAATATATAGTAATTTTTCTATACCTATATATAAAATGTTATTATTGAAAATTATTTTTATTTTGAAAACAAGTTTTATTATTGATTTTATAAGCTAAATATTATGATATCTTATATCTCTATGAAAGTCTATTTTAAGTCAATTTGAGAATTAAAGTTTTAATAATCGATTTTAATTTTAGAAACGTAAACTATGTAATGTGTTATAGTGACTAGCAAATATTTAAATCAATACATATCTAAGTAATATTATATTAAAAATGTATATATTAGATGCATACTTATGACATTTTATTTTTCAGTTAAAAGCTGCTCAATTTGAATGGAACCAAAATTGGAAAATATTAAATGAAAAATCCCCTGTACTTGATATAGAAATCCCCGGCCATCCACCTAGACATCAGAAAGTGCTGAAGCAACACATAATAAATTTAGAAAAACGAACAAAAGGTCTTCATAAAGAAAACTACTTCCTGAAAAATAAATTTCTTAAAATGGAAGAAAAGATAAAAGAACTTGAAAGTGAATTACGAACTAAACAAAATTCAAATAAAATATACGATAGAATTAATGGGAACGAAATAGAAAATTACATTCATCAAGAAAAAATCAAAGAAATCAAATCATCAGACAAAGAAATATTTGAAAAACTGTTGGATCTGACTGAACAACAGAAGGTTAATACGAGATCAATTCGTAATTTGACGAAGCAGTCGTCTAATTTCGACAAGCTACATTTATCTATGTTAGAGCTACTAGAAAATGTAGAAACAATTGAAAACAAAGTTGAGAAAACCGTTCCCGAATTTAGGAATGAAATTTCTAAACTAGAAGTACAAGTTTCTGAATCGTCATCGGCAGTATCACTTTTAAAAGAGGATCAGAAAAATATTATAGACTCTTTAAAGGCTATTGGTTTTTCAGTGTCCAATATGCAAGACAGAACTAACGAAGACCGTAACCGATTGGATAAATTAGATACAACGATTGAAAATTTGTTACGATCTTCCAACATTCAAACATCTAAACTCCATGACCATATATTAAAGGTAAAATTATTTTAATCTTTATTAATTATAATATATCTAAATATATCCATATGTTTTTAGGAAGAAAGCAACCTTATTAATGTAAACGCAACAAAAGCTACTATCCACTTAGTTCAAGAGCTCAAATCCTTTGAAAAGGAATATAAGAGCATCGTAAATAAGTTACCAAGAGACTGCAGTACCGTTAATGGACCAAGTGGCATTTACCTCATATCACCAGGGGAGACGGAACCCATATTAGCGCACTGCGAAGACGGTTGGACGACTATTCAGAAACGTTATGATGGCTCTATAAATTTCAACCGCAGTTGGAACGAATATTCCAATGGGTTTGGCTCGGCTACTGGAGAACACTGGCTGGGCAATAAAAACCTACACTTCTTAACGAAAGAAAATTGTTCCCAGTTGCAAATTAACATGAAAGACATATTCGGAAAATACTGGCAGGCGAACTACGGACACTTCCACGTAGGAAATTATTCCTCAGGTTTCAAACTATCGGTTAGCCAGTATAAGGGAAACGTGAGCGATGCTCTTAATTATCAAAATCTAATGGAATTTTCCACTGTTGATAATGACAGAGACATTTCGAATACTCACTGTGCGAGTAATTATCAGGGGGGTTGGTGGTTTTCTCATTGTCAACATGCAAACTTAAATGCTGGATACAATTTAGGTTTGACATGGTTTGATAGTTCTAATAATCAATGGATTGCGGTCGCTCAATCCGAGATGCGTGTAAAACGGAGGGATGTTTGTTAGTTTTAAGTAGGTAGTTCCGATAATTATAGTACTGAGTAGTTATAGAAGTAAAATCCAAAGATATATTACATAGTTTGTGAAAACGAGAATAAAACAAAACACATGGAAATCACATGAACCTATTACTGTTACCGAATCAATCTATCTAAAATTGAAAATACTAAATATGATGGACTTTAAAATGTAGAGATAGGCTTGTATTTCAAGAAAACTGGCTTATTTTAATAGTGTGGCAAGAGAGACTTCAAATATTATTTACACATGCTAGTTTTGACTTTGGAATAAAAACTAACTTAAAATCAAATGCCTAAAAATATTTGTTAAACGTTTGATCTTGCCAGTAAATAAATGAACCAAAGACCCAAACTAGTTCATTAATTATTTATTTATAAATTATTGTAATTGGCTAAAACGCACATCATGTACATAGTAATATATATATTGTATATGTAAATTTTTGCCATATTGTAAATTTATCTTGACACCATGTAAATATTAACCGTTAAGTATTTATTGAATGTATGTACTTTGAATCCTTTTTATACCAATGACTATATTAGTTTTATAATAAAATTTTTGTATTAATTCTCGTATTATTAATTACTTAAGTTATTCCACTTTGTTTTAGAACAAAATAAACTCGGTATTTTGATATATATATATATATATATATAAAATTCACTAGACATATTTCAGGATACGACTTAGAAATATTTGATCATGAAAAATTAGTCAATTACTGACTCTCCTCATTGTGGTAGGGAAATAGTAGTCTGCATATAAATTATTTTCATGATTTTAGACAAGACCTAATATCACAATTTTGGGCATGTAAGCAGACTCTTTTTGTCAATTTTAATCACCATTATCAACAACTACCTAATTTTTCACTGTATGCACTCTTAACACTGAACAATTTTAAACTGAAACAAAATGGAAATAAATTTTAAATTTTACACCTGTGTAAAAAAAATATTCTAAATTAACAAAATATGAAATACATGGGTTTTAAATGATGCTAATTAAGACTAAGCAAGACTAAATAATGTTCTATATGTACTATTTTAGTATTAGGTCGCTAAATTGTAATCAAATTCAAAAACAGGTATATAATTATTTATTGAAGGTATACATACCTACATCCTTTATATTTTACATATAATAACAGTACTTAAGTGTAATCAATATGTTTAATATAGTACAGTTCAAACATTATCACAGAAGTAATTAAAAACTTTATCAAAGTATAGGACTTCTCACCAATGAAGATTATTTTAGTACCTTTTTAGTTCTGAGTTTCGGAGAGAAGTTTCCTATAAAAGATGTGTGATCCTCTGAGGACTTTTCATTTTTAGAAAAAACAATTTGAATATTTAAATTAAATATTAAGACGTGTATTGTTTTTTTTTTAATGGAACACCCTGTATTTTTAATGTATTTGAAATATGTAAGTTTTTCTTTTACTATTTTTTTATTCATATCGCCAGTATGGATATTCTAATCTACAACTACAGTACCTTTATCATGTCATTTTAAATTTAAATTAAAGTGCAGGCGCGCAGGAAACTTATTAAATTAGCTGAAACAAGACTATCGCCTTTATATATATTTTTTAGGCAGCCCTGTATTTGACGGTACAAGGTACCTACCTACAAGTGAAATTTATCTAACCTTTTGAAAAAAAATAACGGGTAAAAATAAAAGAATTATAATGTTAGTCTTGTGTACAAAATTCTAGCCAGTGGTTTCTCCCTTAGAATATCCATACCATCACTTAAAAAATTTGTCTAGAAAAACCTACTCGCAGATTTCAAAAATATTAACACTATCGCATCTAGCCTATGCGATATTCAGTTGTTTTTTCTGCAAATAGATCTTTGTGGCCTTCACAAAACTATACAACTTTTATAACAAACTTTTTTCCTTTGACTAGAAAATAAACAGGTTACATTTTCAATGGGAAACTCTATATAATAAGAAGACACATCAGATTTTTAATGTAATTAATCAATAATTTCAAAACATTTTAAAATATCAAGAAATTTTTGGTATGTTTTAAAACTTCTCACTCATTCTATGTATTAAGAAAAAATAAAACAGTCTGTTCTACATTATATGTATAACAGTAAAGTTCCTAAATATCTAAATACACAATGCAGCCCCATTCTGGCTTGTCTTAATTATTCTATTTATAGTGACATGCATCATAAGAATAACTTTTACGATTAATCGTGATAGAAAAAATAGTGTTTATCACCTTTTGAAATCTAAGATATTTAAAAAATAATAATAAAAAGGCTAGGACCACAAAGAATTAATAAATATAATTTAAAAAAATCAATTTGTCAATATTTTCTGATAATTCAAATAGTTTTATTAATTTGCATAAAATAAATAAGTATCCTAAAAAGAGATGCCAATTTTTAACCATACATTTATACTCCTCAAAAGCAATTTTTGTCTGACAATTTTTTTGAAAACTTCTTAAAATTTTATAAATTTATATTTAGAATTTCTGTTACCTGCCACTGGAGCATAAGTCGAAACGCTTAGTTGAGTTAATCATAAACAAAAGCACAAAAAAATGAGAAATAGTTAGTAGATAGCCATCAAAAATTTTTCATGGTCATTCTAGAAAAACATGGTAGGTATAAGAATTTTTTTAAATTTATAGTCAGCTAATCAGCGTAACTTTAATGAATTCAAAATACCGCACAATACAGTTATCAATAAAAAATTAGACAAAAGTGGTTGCTTTTAATGAAATATATAATGTAGTTAAAATTATTAAATATTTACAAATTACAATTATTTCAAATATTGTAAATATTGTAAATAAAAATATTTAAATTATCAAAATTGAAGTTATTCATTACTGATCAACATTAATAAACAAATTTGCAGGTTTTGTTTTTTCAAAATATGAAGAAAACATTATTTCGGAAGTATGGGTATGTAGTTTCAAAATTTTATTTTAAAGGTAATATTGTTCTTAAAAATTTTTAAGTTTCTCCCAAACCCCCACCAAATCCCCAATCTTTATTTAATATTTGGGCAGGAACTATTTCCCATGTTGCAATTTTGATCAAAATTTTATAAAAATTTGTCTTATGCTTATATCATAATCTGTTATAAGTAAATTACTGTTTATCAGCTATGATATAATGAAAAAATTTCACTGATAAGGCGAGACATTCAAAATATTCTCTGATATATTTAAGAACAAGATTAAAATAATCTGCGACTGCTGCCAACTTAAATATGAAGATATTCATTAATATTTTCCTTACAATTTCCTGTTTTTTAATGATGTGATACAAAATACTAAAATTAACAGCATAATGTTTCATTTATCCCTTGTGGAGTATTTTGTTAAAAAACAATTAATAAAAGGTCAACAACACTACTAAAAAGTTAATTATAGAACAAGACAGTATTCTTCGCAATAGAATTTTAGAATTGGCAATGGCTAATTTATATACATTATTTAAATTGTCTAATAAAATGTTTGTCAATTTGAGTGTTCCAATCAAATTATTTAATGAACATCATTAACAGAATAAACATTTTCAATGTCCTCAGAACATGGCATTTAACATTTTGATCACTTAGAAAAATTGAGACCTTGAAGATTGACATTACCTTAGCAAATTAATTGGTACCTACTAATCGTCGTGCGAAAATCAACCATGACAATCAATAGGTTGACCACCCCTGTTATAACATATTTTAAAAAAAATTACATTTTATGAAATTTTAACAGATAAATTATATAATTTCTATAAATTAGGTATATGGGCATACCCATTGAATACTGTAACAATTAGCAATTTATTTCGGTTTATATTTAGCAGCAAGATGGTACAGAAAAGAAATAGAAAGTCTGAAAACGAAACTATATAAATTTTTCATTCCGAAAATCAACAATTTATACAAGAATATAAACATATCACACTCATTATATATATACATTATATATTTACAGAATATAAACATTCTACTTGCATAAAATCATACTAAAATAAATAAATTAAAGATACCCTGTACGATTTTTGTGAAACTTTAAATGTTATACAACATCTTCAGCTTTAGATACTTTCTCATTATTTGGTAAAGGTGAGTAAGAAACCGATTCCTTCCTCTTAAATGTTACATACGTGTAAATTAAACTACCTAACACACTGATATTAATCCCTATAAAATTAACCCAAGAAAACATATAATCTCCACCGATTACCATTCCGAGATATGTAACACATATATTTTTCAATGTCCCTATAATAGTTGTAGTTAAAGCAGAATTATAAAATGTACACAATACTACACTATAAGATAAAACAAATCCCATTACACATGATAAGATAAATTGACCCATAAATAATACATCGTTCCAATATTTATAATTGTACGCTTCTTCCATGTCTCCAGTATAAAATGCAAAAAATAATGCAGGTAATATCATAAATAAGGAATTATAATACATAAGACCATATTTTCCTAGTTCTTTGGAATCCAATTTCTTTTTCATATATACACCATTGGAGGCAGTGAAAATGTTGTTCATTAACACAAATATGTAACCTGTTAAGTTAAACGCTATATCATTACTAGCTGCTACAATGGCACCTACTATCATAGTATACACACTAAATTGTACGCTGAAACTAGGTTTAATACCAAGAATGTACAGTTCTAGGATCATCGTCATTAATATTGAAAATCTTCTTAGTGCTGTAAACATGGGAAGACTTAACTGTTTAGTTCCTCCAAGTCCAAAAAACATATTTCCTATATAAATAAGAGGCAAAGGAAATATCTTTCCGAATGTGCTTAATTCAAAACTTGGGAAGTTAACAATACGAAGTTTCTTCGCAACAAATAATACCACTATGGTCGCTATCATCTGGCCCAAACCCAAAACTTGAAACGAAGGAAAGCCATAAGTAGTAAGGACGGTTTTATTCACTACTGTTATCATAAACGAGGCAACTCCATAGAAAACTGCTGATAACACTTGTTTCACAAACAGTGAAGTTTCAATTGCTTCTTGAGACTTAACCATGATTTATTTTTTTGAGTTGACTAATTATTTACATGTACACAATAATTCCACAAACCTGATATTAATGATCGGATTGAATTTACACAGTTTCATGTTTTAAATAGATATATGATAACACCGCACATTAAATTTATAGTGATGTCATATCACTTAGCTCTGTCAGCCGGTACTGTCAAATATACATCAAAGGGAACTGTCAAATTTGCAAATAACATTTATAAACAGGTATGCAATGCATAAAGCTAAAAAGTTCCTACAAATTATATCTGTTATGTTATACCATCTTCTGGCGTAGCTTACAAGTAAAAATTTTACAATAACATGTTTTCTATTTCTATTATCATATTAGAAAATCCTTACCTTGTATTTATAAGAAATCAAAACTTTTCCAGCACAGATAAAACGATGTTTACAAACTCTGCAACTCGAGTAAAAGCAAACTCCATTTAAAGTATTGTGTAATTATTAGGATATCTAATTGGCGTAGAGGGCAGGAGCACTGTTTCCTACGATTTCGTTTCGTTTTGGTTCGCATTCAAACTTACTAAATTCTACTAAATTTATTATCTAATAAATTTTGTGTCTTATTAATCTCTGTACCACATAAATCTATTCACTCAACAACGTTCCTGTCATGTATAATAGTAATATTCTAAGTACAGTGAAATGTGAACTTCAGACTTCAGCACACTAGTGAAGTGACTAGAGCCCTTGACTATATACACTCTAGAGCGTCTACGTTAGATCGCAATTATGTAGAGAATTATTGGCGTTTTTTGTAAGTTTATGACATTAGTTTGTAGATGGCACCACATATTCTAGCAATGTTGTACCTACAATCTACAATGGTCTGTGGTACCTACTAATGACGGTAGTGCAGGATATACCTGGTGATTTTATAAAATACTTCAAGAGATCGTTGGTAGGTATGTACCTGTACCCACAGGGTGATCTTGCAATCCATAATTATGTTATTGCAATTTACTATTATAATATATTTGATTGGGACAAAATGTAGTTGTGTGGAATCGGATATGCAATTAGAAATAAAATTGAACATCAATTTAAAAAAATATGGGGAGAAATAGGATATATATTGAAATATTAACGTACCAAATTTCAATAATCTAACAAATCATTTAAAGCTGTTTGAGAAAATGAAAATTGTCAGCTTTAGCTACCTACTTTTTAATTGTCTTATAACTGTTCCTAAAGTGTTTTACTGTTCTGCTTTTTAAATACCTACTTTCAACTTAAACAAATGGTAACTTCCTCCGAGAGGAACAGATAAACATTCAGTATTTTTAAATACTCAATTTTACTATTGCAAGCCAAAAGCCAGAGCCATATATAAATTTCACTTATTAAAGCACAATGCACAAATATAATTACTGCAATAAAATAATATCCTTGGCGTAAATAACCTTCTTTATGTAACATATTAAAAAAAATGATCCTCACATTGTGTAGGAACAGTTTGAGAGTAAAAAACTTTTTTGGATAAGCTGGTGCTTATGTAGGTACCTACTCTTTGGGATATCACTAGAATACGATTTGGACAGCCTCGGGATGGTACCTACAATTTTATTATCTCGTACTTGAAACCCACTGGCGTTGGCTCTGACATAGTACCGTGCTTTCAGTTGATCATTTTCCAATTTCATTTTCTGTAGGACTTCCTTTGGTTAACTGGGATATGTAGTTTTCTTGGTACATTAGTCCGATCTTCTGAAAAGCCATAAACAATATCGAAGGGTAACCTCAATTCTCTACCAAACACTACATATCGGTCCGAGTCAGGAGTAGTCATTCGTAGGTGATTTTCCAAGGTCCGATTAAACTTCTCCACCATGCCATCGGATTGTAGACAGAAGGACAAGGGTGTTGGTCAGGCCTTTTTTATACCCTCAACAACTGACATACTCTTTGGATCACATCCAATTTAAAATTTCTCTCTTAGCTACCGTTACTGTCTCTTGATTGGGGATGGGATATGCTTCTGGTTATTAACTGTAAGTAATCCATCGTTACCAGAAGGTAACGGTTTCCAGATTCTGTCTGGGGAAACGGTCCAGCGACGTCTACGGCAATTCTCTCGAAGGGGAGGTCCAATGTTGTACTGTTTCATATACCTCGGTTTCTAGTTCTAGGCCCCTTGCTGTTGGAACAGTTAGTTAGCACATCGGAAATATCAATCAACTACATTCGCTCGGCTTCCAAGCCAGTAGAACCTTTCTCTAACTTTATTCAGTCTTGTGTACGCCGAGATGTTCTTCACCTACACATCAATGGACTTCTCTCGGTACTTCGTTGACTGTTGAGGTATCACAGTGAATAGTGTCGGGAAATAATAAAGTAAGAAAAAAATTTCACTTAAATTCACAAAACAATTCATTGAACTTAATGTAGCTCATTACAAAACTCACTTATTTTTTATAACAACCTACTTTTCTTTTTAGTAAACCCAATCACTTAAAAGAGAAATGAGTCAACTGATTTGTAATGTATTTTCAACAATATTTCTTGGAAGTACATCCTGCTTTCGTACTTATTTGCCATATAGACTTTTTCACTGCTTCAGTAACCCATTTCCCCTAGTAACATGTTAACATCTACATATAATTTGTCCGATATATCTGTCCATTTTGGTCGAGTCTCATGTTTTTTTTTCCAGCTAATAATCAAATTCAGGGTGGCAGTATTTATTTGTTCTTGACTAAGGTTTCTATTTTCCTATTGTCCATCAATCACAACTGCTGTTCTTTGCGAAAGTTTCCAAATTCTTTTGCCTCGACTCGGTTGCAATGTAAAGATCTTTCGGGACAGGATCTTTGGATACTACATTCTGCATTCCCATGCATGAAGTCGTCCTCTTCTAGGTACAATAGAGAACTCATACGTTTGTCGGACGGGGGTTGCCTTCTGGTTTTTGAGGCAACCTGTTTTTATAGATCCTTTCCCACCATAATTTCAACGAATATTTAATTAACGTTTCTCCTCCGCGAACATCCTAACTATTTTAGTTCTTAGATAATTTGAAATACATATACTTGTTGATTACTGGTTTTCTGCTTTCTTGATTTCTGGTGGTTATTTGTCTCTCTCTGGTATGTCCCCTGGATGCTTGTTTCGCAGGTTCAAATTCTGGATCTTGGCGGAATCTTCATTGCCATCATATTTTCCATAAGCTGTTTTTTTACCATAATAATCGGGCCGTCTTGAGTATAGCGTATAGTCCGAACCGTATGTTCCTGGGACATATGGTGTGATATCTGGAGGATATCCTATAATTGGGGAAGCCCGTCACCCTTTTTCTCAAGAGATAGAACAAAATGTCAATTACAAAAGTTATGCGCAATTAATCCGGCTATCCATATTTGTACTATTTAATATACCCGAACAGGAAACATTTATGAGAAAAATTCAACTCTGTTTTGGAATGTAGATTGCACCCCCTAGGGGCCGAGCCGATGAACTTGAAAACTATTTCCAGCAATTTCTTTCTCTTGGTCGATTTATTAATCATTTTTCCCCTAAGCTCTAGGGCCTATACTTTCCCTAATATCGTACCTCGCCGACCTTAGTGGGACACCCTGTATATGGCTTACAAAATTGGGGTAAGTGAAAAGTAGATTTTTCATATTCAACATAATCATCAGCCCTGAAATACTTCGAGTGTATCCCTATTTAAGCTCGAGCTCTTAATTTACTAGAATCCACAATGAAACAATAAGCAAACTAATTTAAGGGGCAAAGATAACTACCTTATTTATCTCAACTAAGGGTGACAGTTAACAAATAGGTCGCTAAGAGGTTAGTACTGAACAGTTTACTTACACTTCCTGGAGTCTGATCCTGTTAGTTCTGACGCAGATCTTATTAACAAGATAAATTTGGTCGTTATAGAAGAATACAACAACGCCGTAACTGTATCCTACGGACCCAGATAAAGTAGAAACGTAATGATATGTCATTTGTTTACTTGTACCTAAGGGTAGTTGGTCGACAAAATATTACACCTACATATTTACCTATATTGAAGTACATACCATTTTTTAAGAAATACTTATTGCTAAGATTTACTGGAAGTAGTCACGGCAGTACGAGGATTGTTTTTTATATTTCGGGAATAGAGAACAGAAAAAAAATTTAATCGTCGTATATGCCTTTATTGTTTTTCAAAAGCTTCTCCATGAGGGTCAATACACTGCTGCATGCGCTAGAACCAATTCTCGAAGCACTTTTTGTAGTACTCAAAACATGTATTTTGAGTACATCAACCGATTCTCTTCGAGCGTCGGAAAACGTTGACTTCGCGATTTATTTTTGATGTACGGGAATAAAAAAGTCATTGGGTTCCAAATCAGGGCTATACGGCGTTCCTCAGGGCTATACGAGTTATCAAAGAGTCTTTTGTTTGAGCTGATGTGTGAGAGTTGGGGTTGTCCTGGTGGAGAATGATGAGTCTTCGGTTGGTTTTCCATTTCTGGCGGAGATGAAGTCACTGTAAACAACACTAATAGCGCTTGTACGCCAAAACGTTCTGAAAAAGTACAATACCGACAAAAAGTCGAACTTTACAATAGAAGCGTCGTGTCGGTTGTCAGATGGCAGCACCAGGATCGTCCATTACCGAAATATAAAAAGCAACCCTCGTATAAAGATTAACTATTGTTGAACCAATAAGAAATGCAATTTCTGTTAAATTGGAATAAATATAATTATAAGATATAGGGTGAATTATTAATTAAGACAGGTTAATAGATCTCTTAATAACATTTTATATTATTTTTTTCTCCAAATGTCTTGGTTTCTCTAGTATCGAAAATGTTTTAAGCGTTACTATGGTAAATCTGTACGAATAACAATTTAGTTTGGATAATATAAATATTTCAGGAATCTACGTTGCGTTTCTCCAACAGATCCATATGCTTTTAGGCCAATCAATCGAGTATTAAATCAGAGATTTTGTGACAAAAATACTAGTGCAAACGGACTGTGCCATCATGTAAAAGATAGTCTGTAGATATATGCTTATATGTTTCCTACTCCAATTTACTATTAGATATTTTTTAATAAACATTTTTATGCAAAAAAACATTTTTTTTTTTTAGTTTTTTGCTTATAAAACCTAAACTAACAAAGCAATCTGAATACTACGAAGAGAAAATTTGTAGAGAATCGAAGTACTAATAAAAGAAACGAAGAAAATCCGGCAAAATCGAAAATTTTGCGCTTTAAAAATTCATTACTCTGCCATTTTTAAGTTATAGAGCTAATCCTGTGCACGAAACCATTGGTTTTGGCAAAATTGCAATTTGAAATTTTTGGTGCACTATTTTGCAAAGTTTCTGGATGCGTTGGAGATAGTCCGATTTTAATTTTTCAGCCGGATTTGAAAAGTAGAAGTATAATACTACAAAACGTATATTCTAATTTTCCGATAAAATGATGCAAAATAGGTGAAAAATTATTTCTCCAAACATGCTCAAAAACGACCTCGAGCGCGTACGCGTTTTTTGCATAAAAATGTTTATAAAAAATTAATGAATGATAAATTAGAGTAGAAAACATATAAGTATATATCTACAGACTGTCTTTTATATGATGGCACAGTCCATTTGCTACTAGTATTTTTGTCACAAACAAAACCTCTATTGATTGGTCTATTTGC